CTACAGATTTGGCGGTTTTTAAGTGCCGCCAATCTACACTTAAAATTTTTGCGACAATTCATAAAATAAAACACTTTATTTAAAATCAAAATAGTTAATCGGATTTCGGTGGAAAATGAGCCGATATAGAGTTTAGCATAGATTCAAAACAATCATATCGCCATATGAACTCTGATAAATAAGATTCCAAATGAAATAACATTTCCAAAACGTACGTTTACCAAGATAAAGTTTTATGTTGTGGGAATTGGTACATTTTCGTTTTTTCGGTAAAATATTTCCCTCCTGAAAAAATAAAATTGCATCTTGTTTTGTTTTTGGCAAATCCCAAAGACGAATATTCGTAGCACTAAAAATGGCGACAAAAAAGAATTGTTTTTTTTTTTTGTTTTTGTTTCGTCAGCATTCTTTATTTTACGTTTCTTAGTTTCTAAATAATGATTTTTATTGAAACTTGAAATTTTTTGATAAAAATTGTTGTCAAAAAACGTTGTTTACAAAATTAAATTTCATAAAATTATGAGGCTTATGTATACTTTTTGTTCATTTTAATTTTTGAACTAATATGATTCTTAAAACTATAGAATGTAAAGTTTAAATGGGCCTTTCATGTTATATCATTAAATTTAGTAATACTATTTCTCGGGCATTAGGTTTTAACTCTTATAAGAATATACATATTTTTTTCTGTTAATGTACAAATATTTTTCCGATGTGTTTTGGATATTCCTTCTCTAATAAAAAGAGATACCATTTTGTTTTCGGTTGTACAAGAAAGAAGATCAAGCATTTTTCTTTTTTAAATTTAATAAGCCACATTAAAGAAGGAACGTTGCAATGCTACACGCTACATTAACGACGTCTCCAGAGTAACTGAATGACGGTTCATATAGAAATCGCAGGTATGTGTCTCATACAACAACGCCCCCTATAGTTCGTTGCGATCGCGAATTTCAAACCATTTCATTTTTCAGCATTTTTGTTTTTTCCAAATTATTGAATTTTTTTACTATTTCCTTAATATTTCAAAATTTGAAAGGTAGTAATAAAATTAAAGAATGTGAGAAAATTTAGATTTTTGGAATGAACTTATAGCCTAGATTCAAGAAACACAAAATCGTCTGCTCGTATATAAAAATTATACACCTCTAGTAGAACAATTTATTTGTGTCAAACGGTTGTTTCTGAGTATTCTTGCCAATTTCTCGTTAATGCTAAACACGCGTAAGACACTGTTTCAAATAGCTTTTTTTTTTATTTTAACATATTAATTCAATTTAATCTCGAAATCCACACTTTTGAAGTGAAAAGAAGAGAGTTTTCACAAAAAGCAATGTGGATGTTCTTATCGCCACTGTTGCGTTAGCAAAATATATGTCTATACGGAGTAAAATTACTCTTGCCAATAAATGTTTAAATTTGTCATCAAGTTTTAACTTAATTTTCCTTAAAAACTATTCCTTAAAACTTTAAAAAGTTTTTGAAAAGCTCACTTTGCTTCATTTTATTAACACTGAATAGATAAACATTTTCGAAGCAAAATATACAATTTTCTACCTCAAATTAACACGCATTTTATTAAGATTTAAAAATTAAATGTTTTGAAGAATTGCTTGCTTAAAAATAATTTATATATTTCCTCTCAATTTTTATTTTATTTAATTTTATTTATTTATTTATTTATTTATTTCAATGTAAAAATGAAATACTACAACTCATTATTTGAAAATTTGTATGAAAATTTATGTTATTAAATCCATGTTCGAGAGATATTTATCATATGTCTCGCATTACCCAACTTTACAGAAAAAATATTGATGATGATGCACATTGCATGCAACTTCATTGGACAGAAAAATCACGTGATATGATCTTTAGGACTAAAGTTCCATAATAAATAGTTTTGGCTGTCACCAGCATAAAATTAATAAAAATTATATCAGTACTTATAAAGCATCCCTTTTTAAAATTATTTCATGTTATTATTACTTTTCAAATTTTGACTATTATTCAGAATAAGCGCTTAAAAATAAAAGTCTTGTTCATTTATCACATTATAAAAAAATTACACAGTATTATGCCACTATGGAACATTTTGAATTTAATATATTTCGTCACCATTTCACTATTTTCAAACGTTAATTAACCTAATTTCCTTTTTAAAAGTTATATTGGTATTTAATTTTAAACTGTTTAATTATCTCTTTATCAATAATATCTATGTTCTATTCCTTTTTAATATTCTATGTTATTATTACGTTTCCAATTTTGATCATTATTCAAAATTAAAGGTTAAAAGTTTATTCATTTATCATATTCTAAAGTAATCGCATAGAAAATTGTTATTATATAACATTTTACAGTAAATAAATTTTGTCAACTTTTCACTATTCTTAAAAGTTAATTCAGCTAATTTACTTCTTTAATAAATTATATTTACTTTTAAAACAAATTGTGTTTGAAATTATTTAACCAACGTAAGCATGCTGAAATAATGAATGCAAAATTACTATTTAAGAAAAAAGTTTAAATTTTAAGTCGTTAATTTTAATTTTATCAGTTTTAGTTTTAATGCAAAGAAGCAAAAATAACGAAACATTCATTGGGGTTAAGCGAAGTGAGCAAAGTATAGAGCCCTCTTGTAAAATATATAAGATTTGTTTCTATATAAGATTTGTCTAGATATAGGATTTGTCTATTCAGATACATTAAACCTAAGACATCGAAGGTCTTTAATGCAAATGTTTCTTTGTTTTTAAATTTTTCTAAGCAATAGTACATATCATCTCTATTTTCGTTCAGAGATGGAGCCACAAAAAAAGTTTAACGGTATGTGCTAAAAATATTCATTCCTACAATTTAGAAAAGTTAAAGTTAAAATTTTGTTAAAGAATGATGAATTATAAAAGAAAATAATATGACAAAAAAAAAAATTTAATACAATTTCAAGATTTTTAAAATATTGTACATTTTTCGCAGCATTTATTTTCTTCATTTTTTAAATTAATTTAATATAAAACGAATTTTTTATTTTAAATTAATGAATCAACTTTTCGAGTACATATTTCATATTTTATTGCGAATTAATTTAGTAAGAAGGTATGAAAATGAGTGCGATTCTATTTTTATGTATCATCATGTTTATATATGTACCATAGTTATATATGTACCAACGTTATATATGTATCATCGTAACAACATTGCCATCTTTTTTTAACATACATAATGCTTGTTAAAAAATTTAACATTTTCATATTTTTTTGTGAAAAATTTCTGGAAAATATTCACATTTCTATGCATTAACATAGTATTACATTTTTTATATTTATTTATTTTTCTTGGGTCAGTAAAGTCACTGTCATCCTTTAACCTTACCTGGAATTTTCAATATTAAACTTAAAAATGCGTAAGAGTACATGTCGTTTTGGCGAAAATTCGGAAAAGCAGTCGCTTACCACATGGTCTCTATAACCAATAAATACCGTTTATATTATTACTATTTCGTAATGAACTTCCATGCACACCAAAAATACCACGACGTCTTTTGAAAGTTTTTTGTTTAATTTAAATTAAATAATAATAAAATTATATAATAATAAAATTCTAATAAATTATAATTTTAATATACAAAATTATATAATAAATTATAATTTTTTTCTTTTCTTGACTACTACAAAAAAAACTTTTTTTTTTCGTAATTTTCTTACAAAAATTAAATATTGAAATTAAAAAAATTAAGCGAAAATTCGAACAAAGTGAATCAATAAGAAAGAAGAAAAAACAATCGTATAGAAAAAGAAACGCTTATTTTATTTATTAAAAGTTCAAACGAACACAAAATTAAACATTAAAAGCAAAACACAAAAGAAAAATAGTTAAAAACTAACACAAACATGATTCTATAATTATACCTAAATATTCACAAAAGAAACAAACATACTCACTCAAAATACAAAGTTAGAGAATAAAATTCTACATCTAGAAAATGATACAAAATTTAGCATAGAATTTAATAATAGTAAAAAAAGAAATAATTAATTGTGAAGTTGATGAAAACTTTAAATTTCAAGCACTCATTTTAGATTTTGTCATTAAAATGATTCCGAAAAAAAACATTTATTTTAAAAATAATTATCCTTAAAAACAAGTATCAAATAATCATTTGTATAAGTAAAATAAATACACAAATAATATTTTTTAAACAATATTTTAAAACATCAAAAAGCAAACTTATTTTTAAGAACTTTCACGAAAATAAACGAACTTACAACAGTATAATGGATTAGAATTACAAATGTATCAAAAATACAGAAAATTCCACTTAAAAAAGAGGTAAAAGCTGGTTGAAACATTTTCAAGATAGATAAAATTATTAAAAAAAAGTATACTTAATGCTTCTTGTATGCTTCTAAATGTACAGGTTGAACAGAATAATCGAGTAATGTTAATTTATTGGACAAAAGTAATTGGCAAAATTTACAATTTCATTAGCCATCAGAATCTAAGGAATCTCTAAAGAGCAAAGCTGCACTGAAAACATAGAAACCTGTTTGATTGCTGGAGGAAGCACAGAAGAGTTGATAATCAAATGTTAGAAACACCTTAAAATTTCTCCAGCACTCAAACCAATTTCATGCTTGCAGTCCCACCTTCCTTAGCAGTGACTCTCTAGATTTCGAGGGCGCTTTTGTTTCTTTTTACATCTAAACATTTCTTTTCCTCCCTTTGCATGCTCAAAATTTCACCTTCATTTTTGACAAGTGTTCTAAACATATAAAGGATATTCGTTTCGAAACATTCATATAGTAATTATACATCCAAGAAATGTTTTTTTTTTAATTTATGCTTATAAAATATGCATGGTACTGTACTAGAAATTTCTAGTTGAATGAAATGGAAATATGAATCGTAAATAAGGTGTCTTCTAATCACCGCCCTTCATATATATTTTATGGTTCTTGTCAAAACGTTAGATGGGTTGTAAAAAATAATTTAAACAAAAATAATAAAAAAACTGATTAAACTCTGACTGATCATTGTCAAAGTCACAAATACTTGATTTATCGAAATTTTAAAATGTAAAAAAGAAAAGAAGTATAAAGTCTTATTAAATTCTCATTAATATTTGCAAAGTCAAATGCGTCTTTAAGAAATAGGTAGAAAAAAAACTTATTATTTAACAAAATTTAAGAAAGGGAATAAATAAAAACTTTATTTAACTCTGATTAATATTGTCAAACATATTTAATCCAAATTCAAGACAATTTTTTTTAATAAACAAAAACTAATGATTGCCAAGGTCAAAAATACTTATCACGATTAATCAAAGGTAAAAATCCTCTTTAAACTATGATTAATAGCTATAAAATCAAAGGGTAATTATTGTATTATAAATAAATTTAAAACCATTATTAAATATGTCAATAGTAAGATTATTTTTAAAAATATATTTTAAGGGCGGTGTTTAGATATCTTCAACCATACCTATCAATCTTTCAAGCTAATAACAAAAATATATTTGTGAATACAACACATCTCCAATTCTCTCCAATGAATTAAGTCCACGTATGTTGGTATGTTGTCCAACTTAAACTCGTCTTGTTCTTTCGAATGAGCTGTTGTAACTGTCTGCTTGTCTCTGCTGTCTGTACACGTACATACAAAAGAAAAATGTGACGACCAATCCACCAACTGCTGCAACACATGCAATAGCCACACCAGCAATTGCCACTGGAGTCAAATCCCCTGCAATAATGACAATAACAATCTAATATTCGTTTAGTTGCAAAATTACACATTTCAGGTATCGCTAGTGGCAAAACAGCTGAAGATTTAGAAGATTCTGCATCAGAACATGTGCTGAAATAATCACCAAGTTATGGCAACTTCCAGGCACTAGTGGCCCACGAGAAACTTAAAAAAATTACAGAAGGAGGCTAACACAAAAAGTCAAATTCGTAGCCATCCTCGGCAAATCTCTCTCTCTCTCTCATTTTCTTTTTGCTTTTTATTTATTTTAATTTTTACAAGTTTACAATCCCTTTGCGGTCTTGGCGATTGAAGTTGGCGCGAACAGGTACAAAAATCTTCCCATTTAGATAATCCATTAAAGAAAAACAGAACGAGATCGAAATGTAGTGCTGCCGTTTTCGTTCTGCTTCGGAAATTAAGAATTTATTCTCACTAAGTTTCAAAATTTGCTATGAAAAACGTTTACCAGATGGCGTTCTAATGGAGAAACTTATAAAGCAATGTTTTTAAAATAACAACAATTTAAATTAACCTCATAATGCTGTCTGAGGTTAAAAATATAAGACCTTTGTGTGAATATTTACCTAATCTTATGTATGTAGCAGAAAACATTATTTTATAGCTTTTTCCAATCAGCAGAGCCATCTGTAGACGGAATTTGTAAATAGTTTTCAAAATTAGGAGTGCAATAAACTCGTTTCCAATTTAGCATAAAAAATACATTGGAAACATATTTTTCACTTGCACTGAAGATAAAGTCAAGATAGGAAATATTTAAGTCTATCCCTTTTTTACAACTCCAGCATAAACCTTAGAAAGACCATGTTTTCATCACATACCAATAAGGATTAAAATGTTATGCTTTTTTACAAAAAGCACAATCATTATATATTTCTATAACATTCTGTTCCGTTACAAAACTAATAATAATTACTTGTAAACAAACAAAATAATAATAAAAAAAGTAACAAACACTTATTAAAAATTAACTCTTCTGGAAAAGTTTATTTGGGTATAAAAATTTTAAAATTCTGAGTCGGACAAATCAAAACAGATTTTAAAATTAACTATTTGTATGAACAATTTTTAAATTGCAAATTTTGTAACTGTTTCTCGGTAGAAAGGGCAAGAGTCTGGGGGAAAAAATATGTTGTGAAGAAAAAGTACCTATTTGTTTCCGAATTCATATTTGAAAATAACGGATGGACTAAATTAGAATACACCTGTACCGCTCAAACCATTAACGATTGGAAGTGACAACAAGAAAAATCCAGTAATTGTATTAGAGGTTATTTAAATTTATCAATCTTTATCTTGCTGACTGTGTACTGAAATATGAATAGGTTTTAAAGCTGTTTCTAAATAAGGGACAGATTGTACTGTAAAGAGTATCTTAAAACCAAAAGTGGTGGTAACTGCTTCACACCAAAAGCGGTACAGTGAAACACCAGAGATAATTCTTGGTATAATAATAAGACATTTCTTGGTGTACTGAAACACCGTGTTCCTTTACTTGTAACAATTTGTTCCTATCCTACTGACAGGAATGTTCCCTTACTACTGACAGGAATGTTCCCTTACTACTGACAGAAATGTTCTTTTACTTGAAATGTAAAAAAGTTACCACCATTTTTGTGTTCAGTAACATTAAATCTGTTACTGAAGTTATGAATAGGCTTTAAAGAATATTTCTAAATTAAAAGGGTTGTAACGCAATTCAGTCTCATTTTTAAACAAAGCAGTTTTTATATATTTGAATCACAGCATTCGTAAGATGTTGATAATGAATGGTCTAAGTTTAATAACGCTTTTGTTTTTCTCAATTGAAAAGGTAATTTGAAACTTTTATGGAACTTTTACATGCAGCGATCCCAAAACTATACATTACGTGTGGTGATTACAAAACACCCTTTATTTCATTTTACTACGTTACCTTCTCGTTCTCCTCCACTTCTTTTGGCATAGTTGAATGAGCCTCTTTGTTGCGCCAACACACTCTCTAAGCAGCCAACTGAAATAATTAATTTTTCATGTTAGTAATTTTTTTCTCAAATTTATTAGAAAAAAATTTTAAAAATTAGTTTTTATATTATCATAAAATATAATTTTTTTTCTTTCAGGAAATATAACTTTATATTAATCGTTAATATGGACATTGAGATTTTAATGATAATAATTTAGCACAAATAACTATTATAGAATCTCATTGTTATTTCAATGCTAGATCAAAGAATAGCTATATAGCATAATAATTGTAGGTATAACATAGATAACATTATCTTAATAATCGGTACGCATAAACTAATAATATAGGTTTATATTTAGAATAGTTATTTAGTATAATTATTAAAAAATACGTAAGTAATACACATAAATTTACACATTGGTAATTACTACGTATAAATTAATAACATAAATTCACATTAGTAATTGCTTAGTATAATGTATAAATACATAATAAAACATACATAAATTTAAATATTAGTATTCACTATGTATTAATTAATAGCAAATTTATATTAAGCATAGTTACTTAGTACAATGGCTATAAATTGCGTAAGTAACAGACATATATTTACATATTGGTAATCAGTATATATAAATTAAAAACATGAATTTACATTAAAAGAAATTAATTAGTATAATATCTTAATACATATAAAACATACATAAATGTGAATATTAGTATTTGAAATCATATGTATTAATTAATGTCAAATTTACATTAAACATAGTTACTTAGTATAGTGGCAGAAAAATACATTTGTAATGTATATAACATTTGCAATCAGTGCATATAAATTAATACTTTTGATTTATAACAAGAGTAGTTGCGTATTAAAATGGCTGAAAGAAATATGTATAACATGCATGCATTACACATTGATAATCTCTATTCAATAAATGATTAAGCAGATTTGCATTAAAAGACGTTACTTACAATAACAGAAAAAAAAAACATTTTTAACATACTCATTGTTAATAATTAGACGTCATAAATAATGCTAAGGAAAAGAGTGGATTTATCTAACTATATATAGTAATGCCTACTTGGTACACACTCATTAATTTGCATATTGCTCACGTTAAACAAGTTAAACAAAAAATAAGATCTTCTAAATATTTTTAAATGATGTTATTTAATTATTTTCTACATCTTAACTTAGCAACAAATATGTTGACTGAACCAATCATCAATCAATTAAAAAACTATAATGCAAAGGGATCAAACTGTTTAAAATATTATTACAACTACGGATATTAACGTAATGTTATTTATTTATAATATAAGAGAAAAAAAAGTTGTGAATTTTGACGAAACAGAAGCCGTTAATGTGATAATTCTTGAGAAATAGAATAATAAAATACTTTTTTAAAATTTGATTTCTCAGGAATTATTCGACCGATTTTTCTAAAATTGTATCTCTAATTTTGTAAATAAGATCTTCTAAATATTTTTAAATGATGTTATTTAATTATTTTCTACATCTAAACTTAGCAACAAGTAAGTTGACAGAACCAATCATCAATCAATTAAAAAACAATAATGCAAGGGGGTCAAACTGTTTAAAATATTATTACAACTAAGGATATTAACGTAATGCTAATTATTTATAATATAAGAGAAAAAAAAGTTGTGAATTTTGACGATACAGAAGCAGTTAATGTGATAGCCCTTGAGAAATCGAGTAATAAAATACTTTTTCAAAGTTCGATTTCTCAGGAATTACTCGACCGATTTCCCTAAAATTGTATCTCTTATTATGTAAAATTATATTCTTTAAAATGATTTCAAAAATTGCGTACGTCACAATTTAAAATTTTTTCGACTACTATTAAATAAAATAATTAAAAAAAATATTTACTAAAAGCTAATATTTCGTGAAATTATTTTTAAATGAACGAATTTGATATTTGTGTGTAGAAATTTTTCAATTCCCTTAAATTCTCTAAATGTACGCGGAAATCAAAATTAAAATTAAGGAGTTCAAACTTTGGACCGCTCTCTTGGCCAAACTATTGGGACTATATTTCTCAGATTACGATTACTCCCAATATTTTGAGGGGCAGAAACCCGAATCCATCGGGGAAAAAAGGTTCGCTTATTCAGTGAAAGTGTGATTTTGTTTTTTATTTCGTAGCTTAAAATATCATTTGCACTAATTAATTAGCATGTTTGAGGTTACCCGCTCTAACCATTGAGATTGAGTCCTAGAACGTGACGATCTGATCATTAGATTAAAAGTTATACATGGTGGTTGGTTTTTTATCTTGCGCACTGTAATTTATCTAGGTAAACAGAGGAAAGCTCTTGATTCCGCACTTTATTGGATCACCCTAGTTAATCTGCAGATTTATTCCTCATATTAACGACTTTCAAGCCTAAGCAGCGGCAGATATAATAAGAATCAATCATATGAATTCTTAATATATAATAAACTCCATTCCTGATATATATATAGTTTAGGTGAAATTTAGGAAATGGGGTAAATGATGCAACAAACCATAAAAAGGTAACAAAATGTTTGCAATTTTTTTCATAGAAAACCACCGTTATAAAGCTACGCGTTTAATACAATTCTAACTTCGACTTCAAAAAAAAAGAGGTCAGTTTTGAAAAAGTTGCCAAGGATCCCTTTTTGAAAATGACTTAAAAGATTCTCTGAGAAAATCTTTTGAACTAGTGTAAATCCACCTTTATGTGTTAAAAAGAAAAAAAATTGCCTACTTCTTTGAAAATTGGATAGCAACAATAGCAGAGATTAATGTGAAACGTATGGTTATCCTTTTAAACTTTGTAATTCTAAGCGAAGAAAAATTGAAACAAGAATATAATCGTAAAGAAACCAAGGGGAAAAAAACTTGTGTAAAAACATGTATTTAAAGTAAATTTTAAAAAAAAATTGAGATACTTATGGACCCTGTGCTGGCGATTGATTTCCGAGCTGCCGCCGATACGAACATTGGATTGGTCCCTATTATTCGAAGACTGCCGAATTTTAATACCGCAATATTTGCTGTAAAAAATATCGATACTTAACAATATTTTTCCTATTTAGCTAATTTTGATTATTTTTATATTGATCAGGACAGTCTTGGCATAGGCTTCTGAAGCTTGGCAATGACAAAACTGGAGGGAAATTGTATCGCAATATTTGAGAGAAAGATTTTGCGGAGTATACTTGGCGGTGTGAATGTGTGAAAACGATAACTGGAGAAGGAGATTTAACTTTGAACTGTGCAAGATTTATAAGCAACCCTATATTATTAAGCACATGAAAACAAATAGAATAAATTGGATGGCCCACGTGATTCGAATGAGTAATGACAACACAATATAAAAGATATTGCTTTTTAGACCTAGTGGAGAAAGATAGCAGGGAAGGCCGTAGTTGAGATGGGCTGATTCGGCGGAGTCAGATTTTCTTGCAATTAATGAAAAAATCAAAGATAAATCGGAAGCAGTTATGGAGAAATCTTCAGAGGAAGGCATTGGCCCACATTGAGCTGTCTGGCCAACTATGATGATGATGAATATATTAGTTATTCAAATAAAATGTGTCAACGCTCTCAATAATACGGTGTTCAATAATATTTATGATGAATAATATTCACAATATTATTTTTTGATATGTTTTGTTATCAATAATGACATTGTTGTATTTGATACACCTATGTGTATTAACGGTAGACAATGACCTGCGTAAACCATAATCCAATGTAAAGGTCAACTTTGTTTCATAGTTCCTAAAGTACCAGAAGTTACAAAAATAAAAATGACCAAAAAAATAAATAAATAAATAAAAATAAAATTTTAATTACCCAAAATTATTTTTTTAAATGATGTTTTTCATTTTTCTAAAATCTAAACATTTAACAAAACCAACGACTTGAGTTTGATTCAAAGCAGATTATGACACTTGATATGAGTGTAATTTGATGTTACATTATTAAAAGCAAAAGTGTTAAAATCGATATTAATGAAATATATAAGCTTTAATAATAAGAATTTTTACATTAAGGTTTCTTAATTGAAAAAAAAAACTCAGGAAAAAATTTTGTACTTTTTTTCAACGTAACAAAATTTAAAAATTCTACTGATAGTAGTTTTTTAAACCACGTTGATCTAGTAAAGTTTAAAAATTGAATTAATATCTCTGCCAAACTAATTGTAACTGAATTTGAAGAAAATGAATTCAAATAGAATTTTAAAAAATTGTTGATGAATCAGAAGAAAACAAATCCGAACAGAATTTTCATAATGCAATTGAAGCAAAATAAAAAAATAATAATAAAAGGATTTAAAAACTCTAACGGAATCAAAAGAGAAAATTCACATAAAATTTAAAAATTTTAATAAAAAAATTATTTAAAAAATTCAAATAGCGTAACTGAATCAGAATAAAAAAAATTAAATAGAATTTTAATGATTTATCTGAATAGGATAAAAATTATTAATGGAATTTTAAAAATTGGAATTTTCGGAACCTGCCATCTAAGATTCTACAACACCGAAATCTACTTCATGGTTATTTCAAGCTTTTTTTTTTTAATTTTTAAGGAAAAAAAAATTCCAGAAATCTAACAGTTTTAATTTCCATCTTAAGTTTAATTTTCCACAACATATTTAAAAACAAATTAGAATAAATTCAATATTTAATTTTTCTAAAAAATCGCCAAGAGGTTTCGTCATCCGGCTCTTTTGCAACATTCTAGGTATTTTTAAGGTGTGGACTTTGGATTAACAACATAAACTTATGAACTTACCTATAACCAACACAAACATAGACTTCCAACAAGCCATCTTCATATTTCCTAGCAAATCCTTAGAAATATTCAGAAGTTATGCACAATTTAATAAATTCGTAAAAAAAAAATATTCGAATATAATCGAAACAACGATTTCCTGTAACGTTAGGTCAGCATTCGCAATTGTAGAATCTTATCATTTAAGGGTCTCTTACGCTGATAATCACCCAGGTAACATAAAAAGAATTCTGGGAGGTACATAATATCATTCTTACTTTCCGCAAGATTAGATATGAACTGGCACCGTTTAAACTTCAGGTAGTTTTTTGTGAAAAAGGAAGAATACGAACGTAAAACTGAGAGACTAAGAATGACTAACAGGAATAAGTTGAAAATGAAGGATTTAACAGTTTAAAGATAACAAAACAGGTAAACAAAACAACACAGAAGTATGAAACATATTTGTGGTGAAAAATATCTTTTAAAGTCTTCTTTGCAGTTATCTAAAACGTATATGAAGAGAAATTCGATTTAAAAATCGTTTGAGTTTACTGTGTTTGATCTAACGTTCTTCTTAAAAGAATTAAAATATTGTTCGTTTTTTTTCTAAATTCTGAATTATTTTTTAAGTGTTCGTAAAGACGCGAATTGAAATCGTGTAAATGAGTTAAAAGAATAAATCTTTCCAGGGTTTAATGATTGAGAACATAACTTTTGCATTATATTCGATTAGTATTCTTTATTTAGACACCTCTTCCAAACGATAAAAAAAATAAAGGTGATTCGTCACTCCTGCTCTTAAGTGGTGATCAGTAAGGGTCACTTTGGGGCACGTAACACTCCAAAAGGGCATTTGTTTCATTTACGGGGATTGTTCTATTTTCAGATTTTCTTTCTCTTTTTTTAATAGATTCTGCTAAAAACCTATCATTCAAATACAAACGTTTTTTTTTTTTTTTCATAAAAAAAAAATAATGATGTATTTGTTTTGTTAAACTTAATGTACTTAAACGTAATTAAACGCATTTGTGTTGTTAATCTTAAGAATACTAGTGAATTTTTGAGGATGCATTTCTCCCCTAATAATATAATAAGAGAAAAATTAGCACGTTAATCTTAGGAAATTAATTAGGATATTAATCTTAAAAAATTAAGAAAAAAATAAATAAGATTAAAAATAAAATAAAGTTAAAAATAAAATAAATTTAAAAATAAAATTAATTTAAAAACAAAATAAATTAAAAATTTTAAAAATCACCTTTTCCACAGGTCTGTACGAAAAGTGATGTATAAAACATTGCGTGTGACTTATAAAAATCGAGTATAAAAATTATCTTGTCTAATTTTTCAGGTATTATGCTCATTTTCTATAAAATTGATCTTTAAATGTGTTGCTAGAAATTTTCATAAAATTTTTAAAAAGAACAAATGTAAAGACGGTGATATATTTAATGAAATTATTGTTATTCGAATTAAATCAAAAGCCCGTTACCAACCTAATAAATAAAATATACAAACTTAATTTGTGAACGCATAAACCAGTAAAATATTTCATTTTAAAAATATATAATTAGAGAAAGGGATTTTTTTTTATCGTTTTATCTTTAAATATCTTAATAGATTTTACGTCCTGCAGTTAAATTCCCAATCCTAGAACTTTATTTAGTCTAGTAACTTCTCTTCGGTGTTTATACATAATATGAAAACGAGACAAAATAAAGGTTTTCTTTGAAAGGAAAACCAAAAAGCGATCTGCTATAAACGTTAAAAATGGTAATTAGGGTAACATAGTTCGTTATTTGCGAATTTAATTATTTTATATTAATTTTAAAAGCCGGGTGAGAGATACTCAAACGATTTTTTATAAATGCTTGTCCTTTTCATAATTAATTCAAGGTATTGTTATTACAGAAATTATTTATTTTAAAAAAAAATTCGCCATTTCTTTTTCATTGGCATTTGACTTTTATTAATTTCACTAAGACAATCGAAATATTAAATGGATAATGAGTAATTTAGAAGATTTAAGTAAAATTAAAAATTTGAAACTAGTACTGGTTTTTAAAAAAAGGAACTCCTAACTCTCGGAACACCTTCCACGGAGCGGAACCGCTGTTTCAGGGAATAGAACGCACCTGTCACAATGAAGGGAACTTGTTTTGATTCCCAACAAGGTCCGATTTTTGCATCAGGCTAGCACCGACCACAGCATGACGCAAGATATCCTCAGTGAAAGACATATCATAGATTAGAATCCCCTTTCTGTCTGACTGCCCGTGAGAGATTTTCGTGGTTTTCCTCTCCAAGTAATGCAAATGCTGGTTTGTACTATTAAAAAAAGCCCATCATGAAAGTTAGTTTGTTCTCATGCTTGATTTTGGGGATTCCGTGTCTTCTGGGCTAGGTTCAAAATGACAAGATTACGAAGTAGGACACTGATAGTCGTAAAAGTGCGTCGGCTGTTAATTCCGATTATAAAATGAAATTTTTACACTGCACTCTGCTAATCATCAATAAACAAAAACGATTGCGTATTAATCCTGAGGATTTTTGAACAAAGTGATGCGCTTTAATTTTTTATGTAATTTTGAATAAACGTACATAAAAATAAAATTGTTTAATTTATGCGGATTTTTTTGTCTACATTTGTATTTCATAATATACCACAATTCTTTCATAATTTTGAATTACTAAATGAATCAATGAATTCTGAATGCCTCTCAAACTAAAAGAAAATTCAGTTTTAAATTTTTTAAAGCATTTATCAAAACAGTGAATATAGGAGGAAGGCTAAAGATAGTTAGGTAGAAAAGTAGTTTCACTGATTTCATTTGATTGGCTGTTTTTTGTCATCGAAAAGAACACTTAAGGATTTTACGTACGAGAGTCGAAATTGACAGTTCAAAATTAGTCGGTTCTTCTCTTTTTACGCTTTCACCTAACTTAACAGTTAGAAGAGAGTGAAAAAAATGGAGGCGAGACGTGAGGAAAGTTGTGTGTGTAAGTCTTAATGAGTGTGAAATCATCTCAACAAGGGATCGCCATTAACAGCTCTTTTCTCCTCTTTATCGTCTGCTATCCCAGGTGACCCGCACAACAGAAGGGTTGCCGAAACATTTTTGGCGAACCACGTGCTGTTTTCGAAATACGGATTTTCATTTAAAGTGTATATTTTAAATGCAGTTAAAAACCGTAATAACGACAATGGGCAATAGCAGACCTAATTGCATTAACAAATGCACATATTTAATGTTATAATAATGATTTAAGTGTGCAAAAAAGATGAAAATTACGCATCTACCTCTTTTTTTATTTTGCATTTAAATACATGTTTACATTAGGCTGCTTTTACCTACGATTTCAGACTGAACTGTGAGCTTTTGTAAGATGAAAAATAAATAATTGCAATAGCTCTTGACGTCATTGATAAGACTGGATATTGATATCAATAGTAAGCTGTCAAGAAGGATTGATATCAATAGCCCAATTTTGGGTTTACAAATACTAATGTTTAACTCCGTAGCTTTGTAATTTTGAACCAAATCCAGAAGACAAGGAAACTCCTGGATCAGAGCCCCCAGAGGTATTGATTTGTTAAAGGAACATGGAGGACTTTGCGACTCGACCGATTTAACGTGCATCAATCATCATTATGCTTTTCATATGCACAGCAGAATTTATTTTGTAAGGAGAACGATAACTTGGCCGGTGGTTGATCACGCTTAGCTTTAAATACATAAAGAAAAACTATATTTATTTATTTATTTCATTTTCTATGTTCACAATAGAAATAAATAAAAATGTCTTATAAGTTACCTTTTTTGGTTTAATATTGCTCACTCAAAAAGCAGAAAAATGTATTGCTCTCAAAAAAAGTTTTGTCGTATCAAGAGGTTATCTTCCGCTAGTGTTAGTATATGCTTTACAGCTTTGTGCAGGATTGCGTATTGAAATTAATAACGATTCATTTATCATTTGATAATTGAAGTCATTATTAAAATTTTTTTTTACCTTCGCACGATGAACGGGTTATCACTTGCTAAATAAGTAAAAAGTGTGTGCAATAATTACACGTTAAAAAATAGGAATTTCTTTTTTTTAACCTTTCTAATCCTTCCATGGCACACATACAATAAAAGAAACACAATAAAAGATATTTAAAGACAAAGATAAATGAGGTTATAATAAATATGGCTTCAAACGTTTTTACTAAATTATTAAATTATAACAATTTTATGCTGACGAAAACAAGATTTAACTTCGTTGAATTATGATAATTTATGTCTGCAGGATTTTACTTTGACTACAAGCATACAATCATAGTACCAGTTCTACTATCAATTTATGGCGAACTTTGTAACATTGGAAAAAAAACATGTTTCAGCATGTTGATATAGTTGATAAAAATAAATTAAATTCAAACTCGTTGAATTTAATTCATTTTGGCTCGTTTCAGACAAAATTCAAATATTTTATTATAAGTAGAAAATACGTGTCAGCTTTATTCATCTAAGCAATAAGAAAAGTGTAAAAAAAAATTATTGATTTGTTTTCACCTCGTAATTTGAAATTAGAAGAACGAAATTACTTTAGAATTATTGAAAAGTACTTTCAAGAACAACTATTTATTTTTATTGGTTCGTTTATTATGTTTAAAAAATAGATTTCGAGTCTGTGATCTCTAAATGAACCGTGCTAAGTAAACTAATTCGCACCTTCTTACCAAACTCACAAAAAATTTTAACTTTAAAAAACAAAATCTTTTCCGATTTCCTGCAAATTTCATTCTGTTATATTAAAACGTTATTTATTCCGTAATTTTTAAATTTTACACTAGACATCTTGTATTTGATATATAAATTTCAGAACTAATATAATTTACAAAATTTTTTTAATCAAATGCTTATAAGATTATTATTTGATATGCAGAATTTTGATTTGAAACAAGAATTTTAAAGTTAAACTTTAAAAATCTCTACTTTATATCTCTTTCAAAATTTTTTTATTCAATAAATCGTTCTGAAATGCTTATTTTCTTAAACTTGTACAGATGAAAATGTATAGTTAAAACTTTCTATTTGAAAACTTTTTAAATTTATTAGTCAAAACTTGCTTTTTTACTTAACGTTTTTTATTTCTAAGATTAAGATTCATCTGTTTCTAAATTTTTTATACAATGCACTATTCACGAAAAATGAGATCGCAAACACTCCCTATCAGAATATATAAAAACGCCACTAGATCCCCAAGAAATTGTCGCCAACAGCAGCGATAAAAGAACAATTTTAACCATTTGTCCATACTATATGTGACGTCAGAAAAAAGGGAAAAAAATCAGTATCACCCCCCGATCAAAACATCTGATCCACCTTATCCCAGATGAAGAGTGAAGATGGACTCCAAAAGAAAAGCAGGAGTTTTCTGCTGAAATTTTGTAAAAAGGATGGCTCATTTGCACGACAAGGATCTTACCCCGACAACACATTGTTTTTCAGATAGAACACCTTATTACAGACCACAACAACCAATCAAAAGGCACATCATATCAAATCATGTAAGTAATTTAAGTTATCATAATCATCATTATTATCACTATAATGTTTTTACTATCACTATAATTATTATTATTATCAATGAAAAAAAAAATTTTTTGCAAATTATAAATAGAAGTATAATTGTATCATGCTTTTATAGTTGTTCATTTTATTACATCATAATTATTATTAAGTTTTTTTTATTGGCATGAATGGTCAGTTAACAATAAAATTTTAACTTTTTAATCAAAAATATAATAATTTCTTTGCTTTTCACGCTTATGTAGGGTATTCAATAATTACCTCCTTAATGTATGTATTTAGAATTTTTGTCAAAGATTCATAAGAAGATACAGTTAGAAAAATATTTTACAGAGTACAAAAAAAAAAAAAAAAAATTTTGACTAACTTTTGATTTAATGATTGAATCTTCGCGTTTAAAGGACTTAATCTTAATAGTTCGAGGGAGCTGACCTTAAATATTGTAATTAATTGATGCAGACAATATTTCAAATTTCGAAATCAGGCACAAAAACGTACTTTCTCTAAATAAACATACCGTTTTGTCGACGCTTTCGGATTTCTGACCCCAATTTCGAAAATTTAGTTTTGATAGTTTGGTCAGGAGAACGATCCTAAATTCGGACCCCTTAATGTTAATTTTACTTTTTGGCCACCTCACCATATTTCGAGAACTTCTTAAGAGAATTTTAAAAAACTTTGCACAGAATTATAAAATTCGTTTATCCAACTATAATTCAATGCAAAAAAATATAATAACTTTTAGTGAATATTTATCATTTTTCATTATGTTATTTGATAATAGTAGAAAAAGTTTTGAATTGTAAAATATACAATATTTTAAACCATTTCGAAAAATGTAATTTTACTTGGTGAAATGCTAAATTTGAGCGAAATCGTTTGAATTGAATACTTCCTGAGAAATCAAAGTTTGAATAAGTCTTACATTTAAAATTCGATTTCTCGAATTAAAATTCGATTTTTTTTCAACAATCGTCACCTACTTATTTAGATCCTCCTCACTACTCATTTAGATATTGTCAGTCCATTCTACCTCACTAGGAATTTGAGTGATTGCAATTTGTTTTCCTCGCCGAAATGTTTTCTTGATAGTCGATGAAAATTTTACAGGAATCACAGTCGGAAAATTTGCTCAACTCCGACTTCTGTTAGTTCAAAGTTAGGTTCTGTAAATTAAAAGAGAAAATGAAAAAGATTTTGATCTCATTAAAATTTTTTAGATAAATATTTATAATTATGTTGGCAAAAATATCACGCTAAAGCATATCGTGAGACATATTTTTTTCTATCAGAAATGTCATTACCATATCATTGCCATAATTTTACCAGAATTTTTTCATTCTTGTAATAAGCAATTTTTGGTTTCTTTTACAAAACAGAAAGTATAGTTCCTGCCTAATTAAATGTATGCTTTCATGATATAGAAAATGCTCCAATAACAACGATTTCTAAATATCCTGTTATTCAGAAAGAAACCAAGCATTTAACTATTTCTAAGTCTGCACAAATTTTACTTTTGATAGCTTTTGCAGTTTTAAAAGATAAAACATTTCCTATAAATTTCAGAGGAAGAAATGTTATTATTATAAAAAATAAAATAAGAAACACTGAGGGTGTATATCAGCTTGTGTGATTAATTATGTGTTCAAAACAAACTATAAACATTCATAAATAAACATATATTTATAATTCCATTTTTCTTTTTAAGAACGCCATGTTCCCACCGCTGAATGAAAATCTGATCCACCGGCACATGAACTCGATGGGCAAGCACATATGTGATAGCGGTGACCACTTAAAACACGACATGATTTATGGTGTTCATCCAAACGTTCATCACCCTCAAGCATCCCACATGGACACCCTAGAAATGATGGAACCTTTATGCTCTCCTTCCCTTCCCCCTGTAGCACACGATTCTCAAGGAACGTTCTATTCCTCTCCATCCTCTTGCCGTCCTCCCCTGATCAAAGAAGATCTGGAAGCATTTGCAGAGAGATTCAAGCAGAGGCGGATCAAGATGGGGGTGACGCAGGCGGATGTTGGTAGAGCCCTTGTCAACCTCAAGTTACCCGGTGTGGGTACACTTTCGCAAAGTACGATTTGCAGGTAAGTTGTACCTTACTAAAGATACTCATACTTTTTTAAAGTGGTTAATCTATGCAGGATGTACAGAGTGGACTGACTAATTTCGAAATTGGAAAACTCGGGAATGAAGGACATGAACAAAAGAGGAATAAAACAAATGGCATGTTGATTCAACTATGAAAATTTTGTACAGAAAGTTTGGAATTTAGTAACATAAGTCGCCAACAGATGACGCTACAAGACATCGATGACCATCAGTTTTAGCGTTGAAATATGAAAAGGGGTTGTCATGCCAGATTAGGAAGTTCAAACCATGTATTCAATTGAACAGCGTGCGTTTATGACACTAGAATATGAAAGGTTCGATTATAGCCTTGCGGCATTTGTATTCTTTTCAAGAGCTCTGTACTTTTGTAACTTAATTCCAAAATGTCTGTAAAAGTGTTGTTCAACAACATACATTTTGTTTCATTTATCTGTCGCCATTTTTTTTTCTTCTTTGAAACCAGTCAGTCCTCTCTTGAACACCCTGTATTTGATTTGTTGATAGTAGTTTGTATTCGTTATAAACGCATTGAAACACTATAATTTGAAATTTTCCCACAATGATTGAAATTATTTAATGTGAAAATTGATTTTTTTTGCTCTTAAAATTATGATGCAGACAAGAATTTTCCTAACTATTTTTTTTTATTTGGACCCCTTAATATTAATTTTACTTTTTGCATATTTTGCAGTAGTTCAAGAACTTTTAAAGTAAATTACAGAATATTCTGCACACAATTATAAAATTCGTTAAACCAAAGATAGTTCTATGTAGAGAAAAAAAATTAATACTCATTTATTATTTTTTTACATTTTATTTAATAATCATCAAAATAATTTGAGATGTACAAATTTTTACCTCATTTTATAAAATGTAATTTTATATGACAAAGTACAAAATTTGAACGAAATTGGTAGAATAGTTCTTTCGAAACCAAATTTTAGATATCTGACTTTTTTTTTTAAATTTGATTTTTGAGGAGGTCTCTCAGAAATTTGATTTTAAAAAAAAAACTGGAAGAAAACAAATGTTAACACATCTAGACATAGCGATAAAAAATAATTCATTTACAATTTTTTTTCTTACCTTTGATTAAATAGTAAATTAAAGTAAGGCAAAAATGTTCGAATTTCTTACCTAAATGCCAAAGTGATGTTTTGTTTAAAAAAAATCTCATAAACTTGACATAACATACTAAATTGAAAAGAATTAATCTAGAGCAAAATGAAAAGCGCATGGTTATTCTCTGTTGTCATTCCTCTCTCTGTTTTTGTCTTGCATTAACTCTTTGAGAATATTGGCGTGAAGTCCTGAACTTTTTACAATAAAGAAAGTTAATCTAAGAATATATAGTTAAAAAATAAAAAACTATAAATGTATTTTTCTAACAAGCAATACTTTAAAAAAGGAAAATAATAAATAACTTATTGAAAATTAAATCTGGATCTCGTTCGGCACCCCCTTAACTTGGCGTACTGTACGAACGTCCATCCTGCACGCCCCTTACGCTGTTCTTGAGGAGGATATGGTACATTTTGCGCATAGATGTTCACAAACCATGTTCACCAACATAATATCGATAATTATACATGTAACGATAATTATAGAGTGCGATATAATTGTGACTGTTGATAAATTTTATTTGAGTAAAAAACAATTGATTAAAATAGAAAGAATTTAAATTACTAAAATTGGAAAAACATCGTGATATATTTTTAAATACCGAAATTTTGGTCAGTATATGGTGACATAAAACGTTTGCTAATTAGTTATAGTGACCAATTCTCGTGCTGGTGACAATTCGGAAAAGCAGTTGCCGACACATGGTCCCTACAAGAGATTAAGGACCATACATTACGATAAAACAGCAATTTTAGAAACGATTTGAAAGCAAATTTTACACAATAATAATTCAAAACATAAAATTAAGAAAATTTAAATATTAAAAGGACTTTTTCAAATGCGCAGGATCATTTCATCGAGTTCGCAATAGGAGAAGCTCCACTAACAACGTCCGATGATATTCCCGGTTATGGGTTACTGTGCAAATCTCAATCCCTGTGATGTACCCTGCCAAATTTATAACCGTTGTTCTAAAACATCTTACATATTTTTAAAATCCTTTCAATATGCTCCAATGAAATTCTTTCTTTACGTGTCTCCAGGTTCGAATCCTTGACCCTCTCCAGAAACAATATGGTTGCGTTGAAACCGGTGCTACAATCGTGGCTAGAAGCTGCAGAGATGCACAATGGGAAGAGGGTGCTCCCAGACAAAAAGAGGAAGAGGACATCGATCGCAGCCATTGAGAAGCGATCCCTAGAGGCCTATTTCGCTCTTCAGCAAAGACCGAGCAGCGATAAGATTGCCTCCATTGCTCAGAAACTCGATCTCAAGAAGAGCGTGGTCAGAGTGTGGTTTTGCAATCAGAGACAGAAACAGAAGAGGATGAAGTACTCAACCTGTCACAATTCATGAACATTTTTGAGTGAAATTTTTAAGTCTATATCTTTTCATTTTTTTACGAGAATTATTATTCATTTTCCTTGAAATGCATTCTTGTACATATTGTATTATGATCACTGATTAAAGTTTTCTTTTCTTTGATTCACCAACAGTTCTGTTACTGAACATTTCTATTTTAATAGAAAAACAGTTATAAAGTAAATTATTTGACTTCCTTTTAGTGGAACCCAGACTCGACTAGTCAAAAACGCCAACTACACCCTCATTCATGATTCTAGAGATTGATTATGCAACTATCTAGAAATTGGTAATTCAACCATCTAGAAATTAATTATTCAACAATCTAGAAAAAATTATCCTAACTGCATTTTCTTCAAATACGCAGCCGACTATTTTTGTCAAACATAGTACAATTAAATTTTTCGTAATGGTGCGAGATTTTTCAGCTCTACCAATCCTGCAACTTAACGGAAATAATGTTCCTGTTGCGTTTTCATTTTAAGTTTTTGTAAATCAAAGACAAGTTCAACTCTCACATGTCATGTGTTTTTATTACGAGTCCTTTTTGGGTTCCATGGAACGCCAGCTGAGATCTACTCATATAAACATCCTTAATTTTATGTTTTATGAAGGTTTTTGTACAAAATGGCCATTCAAATACCTCTGAAAATTTGCTGCTTTAACATTATTTACTGATGAATGCAAACAAATTAGTGCACTGAAAAAAATAAGCATGGTCAAAATTAACAGAATAAGGTAAAATTTGGATAATTTTTTTGATGGAACTCACCCAAATTTGCATTACATGGAGAGGAACGAAAACCTCACATGTTCAGCCTGACGGCAAGGGGACATTAACCTACGACCCATCTACCGATGATGATATTTTACTTCAACACTGCGTTCGGTGCGAGCCGAGTGCGGAATTCGCATCTACCAGCTATCGCTAGGAATCGTACTGAGTTAACCTCACACCTCATTAGAAGGCAAAGGCTCTATTGAGCCATCACGGGTCAAGGCTACAATTTTTATTTTATTTTATAGTCGTCGCTGAACAGCTGACCCAATTTTATGGGTTTACGACTACTAATGTTCAACTCCATAGCCTTGTAATTTTGAACCCAATCCAGAAGGCAAGGAAACTCCTGGATCAGTACCCCCAGAGGTTTGTTTTGTTATGGGAACATGGAGGACTTTGTGACTCGACTTATTTAACGTGCATGAGTCTTCGGCCGACAAGGATTGAACCCACGCCCTCTTGGACATGGGCCCAGTGCCCTACCAAACAGGCTATCCTGGCCCCAAACAATCTTTCAAGGCTACAGTTTGTAAGTATTCTTTGAAACTCTCTTTATCTAACAATAAAACAATTGTATAGCACTTTTCTCCATAGTTGACGGGGCATTTTTAGTGGCCGCCAAACCACGTGGTAAGATCCAGTTTTCCTAACTCATCACAAAATTAATAAAAGTCCTAAAGGTATTGTTTCCTTTTAAAAAAAATTTTATCCCTAGTTTAAAAGTATTTACCTGCATTTATTTTTCGTGTTGTCTTCTATTTTTATTTTTATTTTTTTTCTATATCAAGAGTTTAAAACTTAAAAAAAGAGTTTAAAACTAAAAGAGTTTAATTGTTATAACGTAATTCTATGATATTACCTTATTAATCTAGCTAAATTTTAAGATTAACTCATTTGAATCTGTGTCTAAATTTATAGTAATATATATAGTATATATTACAATAATATATTATTTTTTCGTGCAAATTACATTAATATACAATTGTAATTTCAGTTAAGTATTAAATAATTAAGAACTTAACCATGAGCTTCATGCACAATGTGATGCATGCACAAACTGTATTTAACCTGTTTGGAAAGTGAAAATATTAATTCACGATTGTGAGCTAACCGAATTTGTTAGAACAATACGCAATTTTTTTTAAATGATAATTAAAAAAATTATTGGTAAACAAAATTAATTATGTTCACTATTAGATTTTAAGAGAATAATGAGCATAGCACAGAAAATTAATAATATTGTATACAGAATTCTTCTTGTTGCATGTAAAAACAAATAATTTCCAAAAAAGCTGTTTTGGGCCCAAAAAGACGAAAAAACAAGGAAGAAAATATTGTGAAGTAATTATCTGGGTTGGTGAACGGCAGCGAACAGGGAGCGCAGACTCCTTATCTATTTTTAACTAAATAAATTCTTTAAATAATTTTCAAAACGATACTATTACAAAGGACCAGCAGAAATCGTTTTATATTTCAACGTTTTACTGCATATTTTGTTTTAAGAACAATATATTTTATTATTTTATTTAATGGGATGTCAGAAATATTACTCTAATATATTTTTTTCCGCTACCATAATTCAAGTAGAAGAAAAGATAATTTTTACTTGCAACTGACCAATATCTGGGGAAAAAACAAATAAATTTCTAACACATTTTTTTAAACATTTCGACTAATACAAGATTATTTATTGTATTGGCAACTTGCCCAAAACAAATTTGTGGCTCGAAATGTATTTTCATTAATTGGAAATCTAAGGATTGGCAGATTCATTCAGCATTCAATCGATATTTTTTTTTGAAAAGTAAAGAAATACCATGAAATGTTAATAATAACGGCATAAAATGGTAATGGTAATTCCTATACAGCCAAATTAACGGTAAATCTTACCATATTCTAGTAGTTTTGGCTATGCTTTTTTTTTCTCAGTGTAATTTGGCTTAACACTTTCCGATTAACCGAACGCAAATCAATTCTATTGTGTGTATTTTATTTTATTTTATCTATATTTTTAACACGAAGCAAACCGGTCACACGAGATGGAACACAATATATATATATA